CGTGGAAGAATTTTTTTTTACTTTTTTGCTATTTATAAAGAAACGGCTTCTGTTCACATACACACACACTCATACACACACACAAACATATTTTTTCCAAATTTGGTCTCAATGGCTTGAAACGTCGAGAAACATAAAATTAGCGAACTGGATTTTTTATGAAACAAACTTCTTCTTCGGGAAGTTAAACATTGAGTTTTATTAAGTGTGTTTTTATATGTTAGACTGTAGATATATTTCAGTGACTTTCAAGTTAGTTAGTTTGCATATCAATTCCATGCAGCAGCAAAACAATTGCTATTTATTATCTCATCCAAATTTGTCTCAATAATTTCAACTTCTATTTAACTTTTGAAACTTTCAAATCGCCCTCGAGGCGTACTTTCACACCTCGCCAGGCAACTTCTTCGAATACTTTTACCGTAGTTCACAAATGTGGATTATGTCTCCAGATAGATTTATTCTTTCTTGCCTTCTTGATAGCATTTCTGAAACTATCACAACTTTTTAAAACTAAAATCAGAAGTTAGTTAAACTGTAATGTAATAAAAGTTCTCTTTCCCACTCATTAAATGAGAAAATATCTCTGTCGCTCGTACGGACGCTGGATTATGTCGGCAAAGTTGCGGGAATTGCTTATAAAACGTGAGTTCTGAAGTTTTTGATATTATTATGAACTGTTTACGTTAAATGACTGTGTCTATGTTACAGGAGTGCCTTTTTGAGATTTTATTTGATCAAAGTATACTGTGGGAGAAAATATAGGTGGATGTCTGTTATTTCAATCACATAAGATTATAACTGATTCGTACAGGGATCGATGCCACTTTTTTGTGACCATCAATAATTATATTAATTTATCACCAGGTACCTGGAGAAAAGTGAATTAAATGGTAACTCTGGTTTAATGCAACAATGGAAACTCTATTAAATAAACATATTCCATCTTTCTCAACTTGGACCCTATCTCATAATCAGTATAGTTTATCTATCATGACGACTGGCACTACCGTATCCAGTATCCTCTACACTACAGAAGCATGTCTTCATTTTTTATTTCATTTCGTATAAAAAATAACGCAAATAAATTCAGTACCTCAAAGAATTTCATATAATATATATATATATATATATATATATATATATATATATATATATATCTTATATATAGAATTCTGCTGTACGGGTGTATGATTTGATATTTTTCTAAACGGTTATTCGGATTTTGATAATTCTTGTTAGAGCTTTTCAAGGGAAATAAATGGTAAAAATCACAAAAACCACTTATCACTGTTTGACATTGAAAACATTTGAACTGCCATCTGCTAGAAATGTCGATTCACTTGAAATTTGAAATTAGCTGCAATTATGAGCATAGATAATATTATAAAATAATATAGAAGAAAAATGTAATGTCTACATTATTATTGCAGAAAAGGAGCTGGGATGTGAGAGAAATTAAAATAATATAAGATACAGTCAAGATCAACACAAGAGTTTTCGTAAGGCAGATAAAATTATATAAGTCCAAAATTGCATATACATTGTTTTTTTTAAACTTATGCATGTGGCATTTTATTTTTTTTTTACTAAATTATTGAACAATAAAAAATATTTCTACTTATCAAAATAATGAATTAGAATTTTGTTTCATGTGTCAAAACTTCATTTGTTAACTTCCCGTAGGGCAAGTTATAGTAATCGCAAAAAAATCGAAAATGAAAATTTTTATATATCTTGACGTTTCAAAGGTTTTTGAACATTTTGGCATACCTTAGAAAAAATGGATGTATGTGTGTGTGTATGTGCGAATACAAATTTTCGTCGACGATTTCGGGAACACGGATGAAGCGATTTGAATAATTCAAAAAACATTCGATTCGTATTGATAAGGAGACGTGCTGATTAGTTTTTGGCGAAGGCAGGTCTAGCCGTTCCGAAGATATGGAGCAAAAAGTGCCAAAAACGGTAACTCAGCGTCCGATTTAAATAATTCAAAAAACATTTTACTTGTATTAACAAGATGAACAAGTGATCAAATTTTCATGAAGGCAGGTCTAGCGGATTCGGAGATCTAGTAAAAAAAGTAAAAAAAAATGCCATCTGGCGGTCAAAAATGATCATTAGACATATGCAAATCAAATTATCAGATATTTTATAGAGATTTTAACAATAAGTATAATTTTTTTTTACATTCCTATGGGTTCCGTACCAATGTTTACGCGTTAGACGGCGACGCGGCGCTTACGCGCTTCCATATTTCGTCTTTATGCAGTTAAAGCTGTACGATTGCTTTGAAAAAAAAGTTCAGAATTTCCAAAATATTTCAAAATGAATGATTTAAGATAGAATGATTTAATATGGTTCGAAATTCTATTAAAAGGTTTAAATCATTGATCAACTTTTATTGATTATTACTGATTATTTTTAATTACTCGAATTTTGAATTGCGGTACGGGAAGTTCCAGCAATTTGCCTTAATGCACGATGCCTTAATTGCCTTAAGACAGAATTCCACTTACAGCTGGTTTACTACACTCGATTACCTACTAGTTATTACAGCTAGTTTACTACCTCGATTCGGTTTGGCATTGAGTTTTGTATACTATATCGTAATTTCGGGTGATAAACAAAATGTGATATATATTTTTATAAATTGAGAAAATAATAATAAATAGAGATAAAAATCCTATAAGCTTTTTATTTACGCAAAATATGATTTATGTGTTTTAACAAATTTTTGCACATTTTAAACAGGTGTCACAAAATGCATAAACCATTTATTGTTTGCTTAGTTATAAGATTTTAAAGTTTGAAAGTTCAAAAACGGTAAATGCAGATGTATAAAGAATTTTATAAGCTTTTCATCAATATAAAACAAATTTTATGTGTTTTAACAAATTTTTGCACATTTTAATCAAATATTAATAAAACGTACAAACATTTTGTTTGCAAAGTTATACGAATTTAAAGTTTGACGATTTTCTTCATTATGATTTTGTTCCGAAAGTTAAAAATCGTTAAATGCAGTTTTATAGAAAATTTTATAAGCTTTTCATCTATGTAAAATGAAATTTATGTGCTTAAATAAGTTTTTCCACAATTAAAATAAATGTCAAAAAATGTGCTCGCAAAACAATTCTCATCGATTAAGCTGATTATTTACCCATTTCATGCAACTTGCCTTAAAGCAAAGTGCCACTTACATCTAATTAATTTCATATTTAACATTATATATGTTTATAAACTGATCCAGAATCTCCTTGACCACTTTTCGATTTATTTTTTTTCATTATAAATCAAGGTTTGTTGAGTTATAATACTATTTGTAATTCCTTGAGAGACTCGAGCTTCTTTGATAAACTTTTTCGTTTATTTCATCCTTGTTACTGAAGAAATAAATTTTATATTGGAGTATATTAACAAATTTTTAGAATGTTATTCTGCGACCAATCACAATGCTCGAAAATGACGTATGTTTTTAGCGCTGATTATGATTGGCTAGCTAATTAATGTGGTTCGTTTTTTTTCGTCTTTTTTCGACCCTTTCGCATTGTCCATAAATAGGGGGTGCGCGAAGAATTCTTGGCAGTCGCCGGCCGTGGCCGGCGCCGGTGTCACCTAGGGTGGCACTGAAAGCCCTCGGGGCACCAGACCGGTCGCTCCCTTTGGAGCTGGATTGGACAGGAGCCTCGGGGCCTCCGCCGGAGACTCCCGGCTACGGAGTCTTCCGTCTGCGGAGACTCCCGGCCACGGAGATTCCGGGCTACGCGGAGACTCCCGGGCCACGCGGAGACTCCCGGGCACGGGGACTCCCGGGCACGGGGACTCCCGGGCCATGCGGGGACTCCTGGGCACGGAGACTCACGGGACATGCGGGGACTCCTAGGCACGGAGACTCCCGGGCCATGCGGAGACTCCAGGCCACGGGGACTCCCGGGCTATGCGGGGACTCCCGGGCCATGCGGAGACTCCCGGGCCATGCGGAGACTCCTGGCCACGGGGACTCTCGGGCCACGCGGAGACTCCCGGGCACGGAGACTCCCGGGCCATGCGGAGACTCCAGGGCCATGCGGAGACTCCAGGCCACGGGGACTCCCGGCCCATGCGGGGACTCCCGGCCCATGCGGGGACTCCCGGCCAATGCGGGGACTCCCGGGCCATGCGGAGACTCCAGGCCACGGGGACTCCCGGCCACGGAGACTCTGGGCGTCGGGAATATCCAATTAGAATACCGTAAGAATACAATTTGGATGTGTTCCTCGCAGCACGAAGTCTCCGTGGCCTTATCCCGCGGCCCCGTAACCTGGAGATCTTGTCCACTGGGGACCCCGTCGACAGCAGTCTCCGTGGCCGAAAGTCTCCGTGGCCGGAGGTCCGTAGCTCGGAAGTCCCCGTGGCCGGGAGTCCCCGTGGCCTGGAGTCTCCGCATGGCCCGGGAGTCTCCGTGCCCAGGAGTCCCCGCATGTCCCGTGAGTCTCCGTGCCCAGGAGTCCCCGCATGGCCCGGGAGTCCCCGTGCCCGGGAGTCCCCGTGGCCTGGAGTCTCCGCGTGGCCCGGGAGTCTCCGCGTAGCCCGGAATCTCCGTGGCCGGGAGTCTCCGCAGACGGAAGACTCCGTAGCCGGGAGTCTCCGGCGGAGGCCCCGAGGCTCCTGTCCAATCCAGCTCCAAAGGGAGCGACCGGTCTGGTGCCCCGAGGGCTTTCAGTGCCACCCTAGGTGACACCGGCGCCGGCCACGGCCGGCGACTGCCAAGAATTCCTTCGCGCACCCCCTATTTATGGACAATGCGAAAGGGTCGAAAAAAGACGAAAAAAAACGAACCACATTAATTAGCTAGCCAATCATAATCAGCGCTAAAAACATACGTCATTTTCGAGCATTGTGATTGGTCGCAGAACAACATTCATCTAAAATTATTTATTTAATTGTAAAAGAACATCTCATTGCTTATCTCAAGTATAATGTATAAATGAACTTTTGATGGCAATATTTTTTATAAAGAGTTTTTAAAGTATATAAAGTTGCTATAGTTCGTTATAGCGTGTTAGATAGTATTGCAGATCGTTTAAATTGTACACACATTTCCCGAAATAAACATTCGTTTACATTAAATGGTCTAAAAGCTATTAAAGATAAATGACGTAAAAGATTAAGGAAAAAGGCGTAGAAACGATAACGATAATTTTTGAAAACAAAATATGAATGTATTTTATTAAGTAAGGTATACATTAATGTATACCATAAGAAAGAAAATTTTACAAGCTGTACAAAACCCTAATTCAATTATTAACAATTTATACAAAAATATTGTGTAAAAAATATTTTTTCAAAAAAGAGCACTTTTTTAACAACATTAATAAATAGCTACTTGTGTTAAACAGAAACAAATATATTTATGCATATATAAAATTCTTATGTTAATTACTTACATTGATATTTTCTAATTAAACTTCAACTTTTTGTGCAATATTTTCATATTTTCAAAAACTTTAAACAGTTCATTTTTTAAAATATTAAGTACTGTCAAGTTATTCCTTTGATCCTAATTGTTCATAAAATCCTGCAAAAGCACTATTAACCAATTAAGCGCGCACACACACACACACACACACATATATATATATATATATATATATATATATTGTATATATATATATATATATATATATATATATATATTAAATGTTAAATATGAACAAAGCACCACTCAGATTTTTTACACAACTTTATTTAATAATTACAAACTTTTCGAGATCATGGTGTGCCTCATCTTTAGTGTAATTTCAAAAAACAGTTACTTATATACTATACATTCTTTAATGTTTTATTTAAACTATATTTAACTTTTGAATATAAAAAACACCAACTATTCCTTGCATTGACAAGTGACAATTGTTTCAGTCATTGCTTGACACGATAAAGACACATTTAAGACACAATTAAGCACACATAAATATATATATATATATATATTAAATGTTAAATATAAACAAAGCAACACTCAGATTTTTAACACAACTTTATTTAATAATTACAAACGTTTCGAGACCAATGCTTGTAACACGGTAACGACATATACATGTCAGTCATGTCACACTTACAGAAATATTCGAAACAAATCTGAAGTATCTAGACGGAGACAGGATGGGTAACATTATAATGTAAACGAAAGAAATGCGCTCGCATACAAAAATCGATAAATATGAAATTTATTGAAGAGGATAAGATACATTTGTTTACATTATAATGTTACCCATCCTGTCTCCTACTAGATACTTCAGACTTGTTTCGAATATTTCTATAAGTGTCACATGTCTTTACGTTTGTATTTATTAAATAAAGTTGTGTTAAAAATCTGAGTGTTGCTTTGTTCATATTTAACATTTAATATTCGTTCCACTCATATCACAAAATTCTATTATATATATATATATATATATATATATATATATATATATATATTAAATGGTATCTTTATCATCTTTAATGTCCTATTATATAATCCACTCATTTATTTTTATCATTTTCATTTTGATCATATTATCTTATATTTGTACATTATTATTTTTTTCAACTAATTTATCAATTAAAAAATTCATTTTCTTTTCTCAAACATATTGTTTACTTAAATCTCATCAAGATCATGTTTCTTGACAGATGTCCTGAAGATGGAACGTACCTAGTTCCGAAACGTCGACAGTAAATAAATAAATAAATAAAGAAATAGTTTATTTAAAAAACTTTTTTTTTGTTTTTTATTACTTTTTGGATTCTTGTTCGAAACTCTACAATATATATATATATATATATATATATATATATCTTTTTCAAGATTTTTTTTTGTATATCGAAAATAATTCATATTTTAATTTTAATTCTGACGAAAATTCTAATATACTTTAAACAAATAATTTCAACTTTGCAATTCAGTTTATATAATTCTTATAAATATTAGACAATGTTACAATAATTATAAAAATCTATATGAAAACATCTAATATTCCTCGATCATTTCGTTACGGTACGGGAAGTTCCAGCAATTTGCCTTAAGGCACGATGCCATACACCACTAGTTTGGCATTGGATATGGACTATTTAGCAAGTTGATCGTAGATTGAAGAGTGCTCATATGAACTAAATTTTACAAATTAATTCACCTAAGATTTGAACATAAACAATAATATTATTAGTAAGAAGAATGTACCATAGAAATTATAATTGCCGAAAAACAACTAGTATATCGTACGAGATTATGAAAATTATAGACTAAATTGTTGAAGCAATTATGTTGTGTGGTAAAATCAAGTGTGATATTGTTCTTTTACCATAGATACGATATTATTTTTTTCTGAATTTCTTACACTGCTTATGCTAAGATCAAAAATCAATCACAAAGACAGGACATGAAATAGGATAATAAAAAGTATATAATAGGATATTAAAAAAATTTAAACTTTTGAATTGTAGACGTGGGTACAGGACAACGTCTGTCGGGTTATCTAGTATATATATATATATATATATATATATATATATTTCAGATGTAGAACGAAAAAATTGTTTTCTTATCTTATTAATATAACGTCGTTTTCGACTTCACTGTTCTTCAGAAAGGAGCATGGAGGTTAAGTGACGATAAAAGATGAGAAATTACTTTTCAATTCCATTACATCCACGTAAGATGGAGGTTTATTGAATCCAAGATAACAAAAAAAATGAATCAAAATCCAAATAGATATCTTCAAAGCGACTATATTGAATGAGGGATCGTAGAATCAACAGTTGGCTTTAAACGGTAATATATGTTTGAAGAGTTTGATTCATGGTGAAAGACCAGGTAAAGGTAAAGGAACAGGTAAAGGTAAAAGATCAGGTAAAGGACCGGGTAAAGGTGAAAGTACAGATATCATTTAGCCTTTCAAGATTTGTTCATTATTATTGATTGCAAATATCGGTTTTTGGCAGAGACCAATTTAAAAAAAAATCTAATCTGATTATAAGAAAATCCCAAACATATAATGTAAAAGGTTCGTTGATTTTATTATCAATCTCTTTGAACCATCGTAATTGCTAATTTCAAAGTATAATAGAAATGAGAAAATTTCGTAAAATGCAATTTGTTCATTACATTTCGTTTATATGAGTTACACGGTTGAAGATCAAAGTTTGGCACAATCACTGCGAATGTCATTTGACTTACTATCTATAAGAGTTGATCGAATTATAGAATGAAAGTAAATTGCATTTTTATAAAGCTTATATTCGTATATATATATATATATATATATATATATATATATTATATATATATATATATATATATATAGTCAGGGCAGGATTTAGAATTTTGGAGCCCTGGGACAAATGCCGACCCGTCCCTTATTTTAATAACTATTTGGTACAGAAAAATTATTACGCATCACATACTAAACTAGTGGTGCATGGCATCGTGCCTTGAGGCAAATTGCCAAGACGAAATTTGACTTTTTTGGTAATTTTGATTTTTTTCATATTTTGAAATTTTATGAAAATTTTGAACTTTTTTTCAGAGTAATCGCAAAGTTACAAAAATTTATAATAGGCTGTAACTTGGTGAAATTGCTTAAAATACAATTATAAAAAAAATTTTAAAAGTCCTTATCGTTACGATGCAAGCTAAAAAATTGGCACAAGTTCAAAGATCCACAAATTAATCTTTAGCGAACTTTAGCTGAATGGCCAGTTTTATCGCAAAATTATCTCAGACAAAATTGTAGAGTATAAAATTATATTAAAATTAGAAGTATCAATATTTTTCTTCCTCAGAGCCACCGTTTTAAGGATCACTTTGAAAAGTACGTTCGACCAGGTGAAGGACCACGTAAAGGAAAAAAACCTGGTAAAGGTAAAAGACCAAGTAAAGGTAAGGGACCGAGTAAAGGTAAAAAACTGGGTAAAAGTAAAGCACCAGGTAAATGTAAAGGATCAGGAGAAGGTAAAATATTAGGTATATGTAAAAGATCAGATAAAGGTAAAGGATCAGGTAAATGTGAAAGACCAGGTAAAGGAAAAATATCAGGTGAAGGTAAAGAACCAAGTGAAGGTAAAGAACCAAGTAAAGGTAAAAAAACAGGTAAAGATAAAGGACCGGGTAAAGGTAAAGAACTGGGTAAAGGTAAAAGATCAAGTGAATGTAAAGGATCAGATGAAGATAAAATATCAGGTAAAAGTAAAAGATCAGGTAAAAGTAAAGGATCAGGTAAAAGTAAAGGACCAGGTAAAGGTAAAAGACCAGGTAAAGGTAAAAGACCAGGTGAATGGAATATACCAAGTAAAGGTAAAATATCAGTTAAAAGTAAAGTACCAGGTGATGGTGGAGTCCAGGCAAAGGTGATGGACCAGGTAAAGGTAAAAGACCAGGTAGAGGTAAAAAAACAGGTAAAGGCAAAGGCCCAGGTAAAGGTAAAAGATAAATTTGATCTAAGGTATGCCAAAATGTTCAAAATGTCATGAAATGTACATATGTTCGTTATGAATTTCAACGACCAAAAATTATTTCAACAATATTGTTTCTAATTAACATTAAATGAACTTCCTAATAACTTTATCATTTATAGGTACAAGTTTTGTGTAAAATATATGATTTATAATTATTAAAATAAAATGAAAACAATAATGAATCATTATCGATTATTTATCCTCATCATCATAAAGATTCAAGATTGCACATTTATATGCCACGTATTTTCTCAGTACTTACTCTAAAACCTGCAATTGGGTAAGATCATAATACAATATAGTTCACGTTCAAGTCCTTTTCACGAGGAAATAGGAAGATCAATGTAAGGGAAGAGAAATCCGGATGTAGGAACAAGGGATTCAAGTCTAATGACGGAACCGGAATTCAGTTCAAATGCGACACGATCTAACACTGTGAACGTACTGAGAAGAAAAAATAACGATTTTGAAAGACTATTTAAAATTCGATACTTTGGACCATAGATATCCTAAACTATGATATTTATTTTTTAAGGTTTAATAATGAAAAAGTAAACAAAAGCAATATAATTTTCAAGTATTTAGTTTTTCATTATTTCATTTTTTCAAAAAAAATATTTTTTATTTTTTATGATTTCAACGAGTTTGGGGATATAGGATTCAGGCAAAACAAACAATATTTGTTCATATATTTATTAACTTCCCGTAGGGTAAGTTATAGTAATCGTCCAAAAATCGAAATCAAAAATTTTTACTTTTCTCGACGTTTTGAAGGTTTCTGAACATTTTGGCATACTTCAGAAAAAATGGATGTGTGTGTGTGTGTGTGTGTGTGTGTGTGTGTGTGTGTGTTTTGTATGTCCGCTTTTTTTCGTCCACGTTTTCGGGCGCACGGATCAACCGATTTGAATGGTTTAAAAAACATTCGATTCCTATTGATAGGGAGATGTGCTGATTAGTTTTTGGCAAAGGCAGGTCCAGCCGTTACGGAGATATGGAGCAAAGAGTGCAAAAATAGAAAGCGAGTTTTTGAGAGAACGGATCAACCGATTTGAATGGTTTGAAAAACATTCGATTCCTATTGATAGGGAGATGTGCTGATTAGTTTTTGGCAAAGGTAGGCCCATAGGTTTCGGAGATACAGAGCTAAATTTAAAATAAATGGCTGTTTTTGAGAGAACTAAGCGTCCGATTTAAATGATTCAAAGAACTTTCTGCTTTTTTCAACAAAATAATTGATTTTGGAAAAAAAAATTTTTTGTTTCTAATTTTTTTTTCAAAAATTTTTTTTGTAATTTTGGATTAAAATTCAAAAAATCACCCAAGCTAAGCACAGTCTAAGCGCCACTCTGGTACAAATGTTTACCCAAGTGCGTTTAGACTGTTTGTGTACTGGAGCACTTTTCCAATTTTGTGAAAATTATTGAAAAATGTGAAAATGCCGCCAAGCTGAGCACAGTATAAGTGAAAATGTCGCACAGAATTATTTGCAAATGCGTTTAGACTGTGACTATGCGGGAGCACTTTTTCAATTTTGTGGAAATTTGGAGATGATAAATTGATTTATTTATAATTAACTTTCCGTAGGGTAAGTTATAGTAATCGCACAAAAATCGAAAATGAAAATTTTTATATATCTTCACGTTTCAGAGGTTGGAGAAAATTGATGTATGTGTGTGTGTGTGCGTGCGTGTGTGTGTGTTCGGATACAAATTTTCGTCGACGATTTCGGGAACGCGGATGAAGCAATTTGAATAATTCAAAAAACATTCTAGCCGTTCCGAAGATATGGGGCAAAAAGGGCCAAAAACGGTAACTCAGTTTTTAAGAGAACGGAGCGTCCGATTTGTATAGTTCAAAAAACATTTTACTTGTATTAACAAGATGAAGATTTGATCAAATTTTCATGTAGATAGGTCTAGCGGTTTCGGAGATCTAGTAAAAAAAAACTAAAAAAAAAATAACATTTGGCGGTCAACAATAATCATTAGACATTAGACATATGCATATCAAATTATCAGATATTTTATTGAGATTTTAACAATAAGTATAAGTTTTGTTTACATTCCTATGGGTTCCGTACCATTGTTTTTCCGTTAGACAGCGACGCGGCGCTTACGCGCTTTATTTTGTCTCTATGCAGTTAAAGCAGTATGATTGCTTTGAAAAAAAGTTCAGATCTTCCAAAATATATCAAAATAAAGATAACATTTTTTCCAAAAAAAATTTTATAAAAAAATTGTTTAAAATTTTTTTTTAAAAAAAAAATTTTTTTTCAAAAAAAAGTAATTTTTGTCCAATTTAAAATTTCTAAAAAATCTTATTTTTTCGAAGTAAATTTTTTTCAAAATGTTAATCGTTTTTAAAAAATAATAATTTTTGGCACGGGAAGTTCCAGCAATTTGCCTTAAGGCACGATGCCTTAATTGCCATAAGACAGAATTCCACTTACAGCTAGTAATTATTTTTGATTGAAAGAATTCACTTTTCAATTTTGAAGTAGAGTAGGACAAGGCACAAAGGTCCAATTTGACTTTGCGCAATTATATTGCAAAAACCAAACCAATTATATCACAACAAATAAAACATATTAAACAACGCTCTATCCTGTATTTATATACTTATCTTCGTGTTAGCAATGTAAAAACTTAAGTAATCTTCTATATATATATATATATAAATAAGTCGGGTTTTCCTTCCTGACGATATAACTGCAGAACGCACAAACCGATTTCGACAATTTTGCATTCGTTGGAAAGATCTCGGGCTCCGCAAGGGCTATAGCTAAAAAAATTAGTTGTGCATGGCACCGTGCCTTAATGCAAGCTGCTGGAACTTCACGCACCGTAATTAAAAATTCGAGTAATGACATTAGTGAGAATTATCAGAATTATGCTTGGTTAAGTCAACGAGCAATTCTTGCCGCAAATAATAATGATGTACACGCACTGAATTTCACCATTCAATCAAAAATTGCTGGCGATTTGGTGACATATAAATGATTCCGACTGGTCTTCCGTTTGACTTCAAACGATTGCAATTTCCAGTTTGCCTTGCGTTCGCAATAACAAGTCTCAAGGCCAATCGCTTAGTGTTTGCGGAATAAATTTCAAATAGATTATTTAGAAAATCATTGTTTTTTACAAGGGCAGTTATATGTTGCCTGTTCACGAAAACCATCCACTTTGTGTTAACGTCAGACCAAAAAACAAAAAATGTGGTTTACCAAAGAGCACTTCAATGAAACGTATAATTTGCGGATTCACTTTCATTTACTTCAAAAGAGAAGTTCAACTAAAAAAACACTTCCTTTTTGTAATCGAAATAAATTCATTACTGTTGTATAATAAAATCAAATTTTTCCTTTTCAAATATAAAACAAATAAAAAATTTCTTCATCTTTTTCACGAAACCATCTGGTGGCGAAACGGAGTTTGTCGGGTTTGCTAGTTATCTATAATAATAACTTCTAATAAATAATTATTTTTTTACCAATGTTTGATCTAAAAGAGCTGATACAGACATCTAATAGAATAGTTCACCTAAAAGCATCTAATTTGTAATCAATATTTATACTCAACGAATCCACCCTGTAACATCAATTATCACAACCCAATGTGCATAACCCAATTTGCAACTTTTACAATTAACACTAAGACAATAACAGATTTCTAATCGAACCATTCTAAACCATCCATTACCCATTACACCAATTTTCAATATATCCCATATATTGAATACACCGTATATTCAATTCAACAAAAGTCATCTCGTTTCGCAAAAGTCAATTTATTCCGGTACGAAAATTGTCATCGTGTTCAAAAGTTTGAGTTCCGGCAAACATTATCCGGACTAATATGTGAATTGTATTGCTTGTGCATCCATGGTGCATCCCTAGTGCTTTGGCCTGGTGCTTTGGCCTGGTGCATATAGAGACCTGCACCGCGGACATTGATTAAATTACAGCTCGCCTGGCTCGGGATGATTCTGTTCACGGCGTAATTGTAAAATAGAAAATAAAAAGTTTAATATTGCATGGAATATTATATCAGACGCACGGAGTAGGTACGTATATCCCACAAGCTAATCTGGAACATTGTATGCCGGACGGACCTTTGGTTCGAGATAATTGTATTTTGGAAAACATGATAATTATAGTGAAATATCAAATAGTGCGGAGTATTAATTACATAATAGTAAGTCAATTAATGAATATAAAATATCGCCATCCAATTTATATCAATATATTTATGAGTTATACACAGTATTATCTCTGTAAAAAATAAACCCAGGAAATGCATATTTTGCATTAGTTGAAAAAATTAGAAAGCTATTATTTTGTAAAATTAAATAAAAAAGACATTGGATTTATGATAAAAAGGGTCAGTGAAAAAAATTTGAAAAACAGCAAAAAAGCACATTTCTACAATGATGGGGGTGGGACATTTCTACAATTAGCTGGGAGTTCTGTATCACATAATCACATAAATGTTTGTTTGATTTTTGTCATGTGCTGTAATATAGTTGGTTCAGTTTTCACAATATATTTGTTCAAAGTCAAATTGGACCTTTGTGCCTCGCTCTACCATATTGTTATAGACATTACATTAAATAAAATCTGTAATACATTCCTTGGTATAAAAAAATAATAAATCGTATGAAATATAGTAGTTAAGCGATTTAATTAATATCCTAAAATAGATAAACTGGATTGAACTATAGCAAAGGAAAAAAACAGAAAATTCACTATTGAATTGAATTTTAAAGCAGATTCTGATAGCTTTCGACATAGCCCAATAAAAAGTTATAGTGTGCTCAATTTGCGTGATGCCAGTTGCGATACGAATGCTTTTAATATATTAATTTTTGAAAGAGAACTCTGCACAATACTGCAAAAAGCGAATGTAAATATAAATGGAAGTTATGAAGCATATTTGAACTTTATAACTAGAAAGTGATGAAAATGAATATATAAACTTTCATCCCTAGTATTGTTACTTATGATACAAGAGCAACAATCATGTTACAATCTTATTAATTTCATATTAAAAAAATTTCAATAATATTATAATCAATAATTCTTTTCATATATTCCGTGGATTTAGAACATTTTGGAGTACCTTGGAAAAAACTAACGTATGTGTGTATTTGT